CTGTGAGACATCTGCTGCTGCCTATCTTGGCCAGGTCTCCCTTGAAAAAGAGGTTTTTAATCTCAATGGGTTCTTCCTGGTTAAATAAAGGTTAATAAAAAAATAAAAAATAAAAAGGAGCTTCAGTGCTTCCTTTAGCAGAGGAGACAGTGGAGCATTCTTCATGAGAAGAGAAGCAATAATCTGAACTCAGTCTGTGAAGGTTCTCAGACATCCAGCTCATTGTAGTCTGAGGAGCTCAGAAAGAAAAGCTTTGGGACTTAATCAGAGAAGCTTCTTCAGTTCTAAGAACAACAACTGGAGAGTCCCTAAGAGGGTCGTGGACCCCCTATTGATCCTCTTCCTCATCACAAGAGTATCATGTCTGTAACTGCTCGCTGGGGCAGGGACAAGTTAAAAAGTGCAAAACAAACAGACATGCTCTGCTTTCAAAGTAAAAGCTGCACTTTTGTTGGCAGCAGTGCAGAATTACAACTTTTACTTTGAAGGGGAAGCTTCTCCATTTCCTGTTTGTGTCTCAGTTTCACTGCAGCTTTTTGGAGACGAGCTCTCTGAACATACCCAAAGAGACAAAAAGCTTCTCTGAGGGGGGCGGGGCTTGAGCATCCAGAAACTGACCTGCGTGAGCTCGCACGCCGCGAGCAGGTCGGCCACAGTGATGTCATCACCGCAGAGGAAAGGCTGGCGGCGAAGAAACATGGACTCCAGTTTATCCAGCGTGTCGTCGAGGTCGGAGAGAGCGCGATTCAAACGGGCCTCATCCACCGGAGAGCCAGACTGAGCTGGGAGCAGCACCTGAGGTGGGCGGAGACACAAAGCACACCTGAGCTCCTTCATGGCATTACAGCAGCTTTATATTCCTGATGATGTCAGAACAGGTGCGGCGTCATCACAGAACCCCACGCTGCCGTCTCCTGATCAGCTGATTTCAGATATTTGAAGACGTGTTTTACAAAATCAGGATTTTGGCTCCATACCTCCAGGATGAAGACTTTAGCAGCGTGCGGTCGTGTGTTGGTGTGATGCCACGCTGTGTACTCGTCCACTCGGGCTCGTCTCTCTGGTTGCCGTGGATACCAGTGCTCTGGGACATCGTACTTGGTGGTGAGGTACTTCAGGATGGCGTCGCTGCAACACATGACACAACCTGACGTTTACACTGAGCATGTGATTCCGATGTGACCCGTCCTGCCTCACAGGAACACACTTTAAATGAGTGAGCGTGTGTGTGTTTTAATCTCTAAAGTTAATTCAATTCCATTTTATTTATATAGCGCCAAATCACAACAAAAGTCGCCTCAAGGCGCTTCATAGACACTGAGAAAAACCCAACAACCATATGACCCCCTATGAACAAGCACTTTGGCGACAGTGGGAAGGAAAAACTCCCTTTTAACAGGAAGAAACCTCCGACAGAACCAGGCTCAGGGAGGGGCGGGGCCATCTGCTGTGACTGGTTGGGGTGAGAGAAGGAGAAGTTAGAAATATCCTGTCTCAGAGTGAAGCTG